ATTGTTTAAATTATGAGGAGTCATGTAGCATTGCCGGCATAACGTATAAGATTCACAGAGCGCTGGATATATTTTTTTCGCGCTTTGTTTAGCAAAGAGACCGAATATTTGTATGGTTAAAGAGGTAGCAAAGTGAGGTTTGAGGAGAGTAAGAACTTAATGTTAGTTCTTCCCATTCTCAAACCTTATTTTCCTATTACAGAGAGGTAAAAATAAGTTACTTTTTACCTCAGTCGCTTTGAAAGACTAATTCTCATTATTAAAGAACTTACCAGAAAATGAACGAGAAGAAACTGCAATGAATTTTTTAGCCCAATAAAATTATTCTTCTGTTTATAAATTCAAATTAAAGGAGGTTAAACCTCGTACAGACTAGTTTTTTTAACTGCGTCTGTAAACTAAAATTTCGTTTGTTAAAAAAAAAATATTGTTACTTATTAGTGCACAGCACTAAACATCATTCATTACTAATATAATAGTGTAACAGATCAAAAAGTATTTTTTTCTTTTGCAGTTTCAAAGTATAGTTATTTCTATGCTAAGAACTATCAATGAATTTAATAGAATACTTTTCTAACTTGATATTTCTGATTAGTGCCTCAGAGACGGGTAAGTGATTATAGTGACTGATTGCCGTACAGAAGGGCTCAAGTTTGAATGCCATATAAGGCATGGATGCACATCATGCCCATCTGTTCATATAAATGTCTTTGTAAAAGATTTTCTGAGTTAACCTGTAACGTAAATAATATTTGTGTTCAAAGATATAAGAAAAGTATCTAAAATAATGTTTACAAAATATATTATGTAGCAATTAGAATTTAATCGTAAACACACTTTCAATATGAAACTCAAAATGGATGAAAACACGTGCCTATAATTTGTAAGAAAGTACTCTGATCAATAGGCACTGTGAAACAACAACAAAAATTTGAAAATATTATTACTTAATACTTACAGCCAAAATATACGAAAACCAGTGTAAGCATAACAATTAAATTTTCATATGCAGAATAGGTAATCCATAGAGTAAGATTTCGATTCTTATGACTTGCGTGTGGTACAAGGTTACTTTAATATTTTCAGATATGAGCTTCCATAAAAAGTAAGTACCGAAGATATCTGAGAAACAACATCCTCAGGAGATCTTCATATATGCCGGGACATTACGACTTGAACAGGACATCCTTAAGATGTTGATTTACAAACTCCTCAGGATATCCGAAAATCAACATCCTGAGGAGATCTTCATATATCCCGGGACATTGAGACTTGAATCCTCAGGATGTTGACTTAAGAAGTCCTCAGGATATCTGAGAATCAACATCCTTAGGATATCCTAACTGCTTCCTGGGACATTGCGACTTAAATAAGATATCCTGAGGATGTCTTGTGTTATGGGGGGCAACTTTAAAATTATTTTAATATTTATTTATTTATTTAAAGGGCAGTGACTTTATCAGATACAAAGCAATTACTATCAAATGGAATAAAATATTAGTAGTGTTTCTGTACACATAACTTGAAGTAAGAAATAGTGGAGTTGGTTTCGGGAAGGTTTTCATAGTGTACGGTGACGACATTTCAAAAGAATTCAAAACTGACTAAATTTACTTCAGAATGCATGAATTATTGTACTATTTATAATATGGTTCTGATGTAAAATATACTAACACTTAATTACATATTCTAAACGTTATGTTCTTTGACTAATTTCATTTTGTAATTTTTTACATTTTTATACCAAGGAAGTCAGAGTAGAAAGTTTGGCTGATCATATGAATAAGGCAAAGCACATAAGAGCTATCTGCCTAAAGGAAGGGATGCCTTTGTGGTGGTCTTTCTAAGAAAATTTCGCTCATATTCCTATTACATATGGGGAAAACTATGAAAATCAACCATGTTTCCCTAGGTTTCAGTTTGGGATAAACTACCAGTCTATGCTTCTGGTGGGCAAGTAAGAAAGGAAAGCTTTTTATCAAAGTACTTTTAAATATGATGAAAATAGTATTAGTAATTAATGTACTAAATATTATGTGATAAAGCTAATACTGTATTAAATTACTAATGTAAAAAAAAAAAAAAAAAAAAAAAAAAAAAGGTTAAATACAAATACTAACTTTTTATGATGATTCAACCAATGTTAAATAATTTAACACTGGTTGCATCTTTCATAAAAATTTGTACAAATATCTACAGCATGTTAACAAAATTCAGATTTATTTATTGGAAATACTGGAGATCACTACGGGTGGGGGAATGGAATCTGCACAACTTAAGTTGCATTAATAAATTTCATTTCTTGTTGTTAAGTAAAAATCAAAAGATTCTATGACAGAGAATCACCCATAAAAAAGCAGGGTAGTTGGCCCTCTCTTTTTTTGAGGGGGGGATATGAGACTCTGCAGTAAATAATTCTCTAACAGATTTGATTTTTTTCCCATTCACAATAATTTTAATTAAACACACAAACAGATAAATTAGGATCCCTAAAGATATTAATAGCAATATAGCTTTAAATTTAGTTTACAACTGTTACAGAACTGCATACTTAACAAAAGTAGGTTCTCAATTCATAGGGATAATATTCATTATTCAAAATTTTTACTTTTTTCCTTATTAAAATTTCAACCAAAAAGTTATTTTTATTTCATAATAGTCATTTATTATTACAGTTATCAGAAAATTATTACATCATTTAAATTAATCTATGATACATGATTCTTACAAAAATTTTATAATGTTTGATTTTGTACTTATAATGCACAGATAAATTAACAGAACGAGCCATTAAATACTTATTTTAGCAAAACAAATTTAAGAAATCAAATAAATCACATATGAAATTCGCAAAATTCTACAATATAAGAAGTACTTTTTCCAAGATTGCTGAAATAATTTAGTATTTGATCATTTTTATATTAATAAGACAGAAAATAAATTAAAATAAGAATATATTTTTGCTATCCAGCAATAAAACTTGAGCAGATGACTAACTTAGATAATGTTATACAGTCTAAAACTGGAAGATCGAGGAAGATGTTACAAAATTTTACAGCAGGGAATATAACATAAGAGGATTTGGGGGCACTATTAATCACAACTAATATCATTAAGTACATCATATACATTATTAGACCATTTATAGCCAAAAAAGATTAAATAAAGGAGGAGTTGTATCACATTTGTGTATACGAAGGGCACTTGTAAGTCTATTTTTCAGTATCAATAAACAGAAACAGGATTAAAGGCAAGCACAGTTCCCTTGAACAGTGCTTCTCAGGTTTACACATAATAGCTACTTACAGCATAAGCTAGAATTTAAGGGGTTTGCAGTGCTGAATACTGTTAACGTTAACCAGGCCAACATCAGATTTTTTTCTGTTATCTTCAAAAATAAAAATAAGGGTATTTTTTTTAATATGCTTGAAGTGGTACATAAACAAACACAACCGAAGATTTTCAATGTAGAGAATTGTAAGCTATTCATCAGCATCCATTAAATCCTGTCAAGTATACCATGTGGTGTTGCATCACAGAGGACCCTTGGGCTTCATTTCTTTGATGATGATGTAAAAACCACTGGCACTCAATATGCAACAAAGGTGTGGATTTTATCCATCCTACAGTGGAGATCAGGCCTAAAATATGATGCCAGCAAGATGCAGTAACATTACAAAAAGTCAAGATCACAATGGTGCACCTTCAGACTATTTCTGGGTACTGAATGATTTCATGAAATGCAGATAGTTACAGACATCCACAGTTGCCAGATTGATTAGTACAGGATTTTTTTTTTTTTTTTTTTTTCTTTATTTAGACATATCAAAGACCAGGTGAATGTCACCAAACCTCAGACATTCCAACAATTCAAAGACATTATCTACACAGTAATCCACATAACACTGACATCTGTCATGATAAAGTTGCTGCAAGAATTAATACATAGATACATACTTCATAATATTTCATAATTTACATGAAATCATTTTCATAACTGTATACATTTACTTGAAATCATTTCCACACACAAAGAAAAGGAATCCCTATATAATGCGCATGTAATAAGTATCAGCATAATATAAAAAAAAAACTCTCTGCAGTGTACATAATACCAAAAAATCAATGCCTACCACTATCAAATGCTCCACTCATGGCATATTCTTTATAACCAATTAAAAGAGAAATGTTTACAATAGTTTATTCCAGAATATCCAAGCAATTAATTCAAAATATTTCGAGAAAATTCTATCAATATCTGATATGATATGAAATTTTCAACACTATTTCCCTTTCACTTATTACCATTACCTAGCCATAAATTAGTATAGCACAACCAGAATTTACAAGCAACTGAGATAGTTTAACATGGAAAGACCGATGAGATTATAATATCACTTTTCAGAAATTATACAATTAGATTTATCCCAAAATTCTTTATTCATAATTTTTTTAAATGCCAAAAATTATAGCTCATTCTGTTGCTTATTCATTACATAATAAATCTCTTAACTTCAGTTACCATTCTTTACGCTCATTACAAACAATGGTGCACCTTCAGACCTTAATAAATCCTATTTCACTCAGTTATATACAACAAGGAAATATAATAATAAGCGAATGCCCTCCCTCCGAAAGAAAATCTTTATCTAAGCAAGTAATGTAAATATTTTAATTAAAAGTTACACTGTTGTAAATGTGTAATACCCAAGCAGCACTGCATCCAAAAAATATTTTATTTATTTATAAGTGCTTTCAATAAACTTTAAACCAATAAATAAAATACAACAATCATTAAAAATTTACATACTTTCTGAATACAATACTGTCACAAAAAATATTAATATTTATCAGCTAACCCTCCTTCCAGGAGAAAAAGAAAAAGTGATCTTTTGATTAACCAACAGTTTTAAGAGTAGTCAACATCCACAACAAAAACAATGGAAATGACATTTAAAAATGGAGATTCAAGATAAACATGCCATTAAAAAAAAATATACATGGCGGATATCACTGTTCATCACATGGCAGCAGTGTGTAGTTTAAATTATACTAGAAAAAAATAACTGTTTTGCATTTTTCTTGCAGTTTTCTATATACACACACACATTAAATCGACTTAGAACGGCTTAGGAAATATATGTCTCATTTCTAACTCATTAAAGAAATAATAAAATATCCAAGGACTGGATTAAAAAATTAAGGTTAATCTCAAATATTTGTAGCACCCATAGCTCCTGATATTTCATCTTCGTAGTTGTTATCGAGGTTTCGTTGAACATCGGTAGAATGCCTCGTGCTGGGCGCACTGGAAGAGGTAACATAATATGGAGGGGAAGGGGAAGGATAAGGAGGACAGGAAGGAGAAATGGTGACTGCTGCAACAGCTCTTTGCCTTTGAATCACAGGAGCTTGATTGTTCAAGCAGTTATCAGTGGCTTCATTGTATGGTCTGCCAGTAGCAGGGTTGTAGAAACCAGGAGTGTAAGGTGGTGGAGGATCTTCTGTAAATAAAAAGGGTGGAAAAAGTGTATAATATAATGACAATACAAACAGAAAGTAAACTATTTAAAAAATCAATTCTTTTTAGCAAGCACAAGAGTGTAAAATATAATGACAATATAAACAGAAAGTTAACAATTTAAAAATCAATTCTTGCAAGCACATTAATTAAAGTTCTTAACTTTTTAATTTTTTCAAAGATTCCCGTACATCATTTCATATGTAATTTTTATTTATTTATTTTTATAAATATGGTCAACTCCCACTTAACAGGTAGCATGTTGAATGGATTGCATAAACCAGTTTTCTCTAAACAAAAATTTTATTTTGTTAGTGCAGAACAACGGACAAATGAGTCCTAAATCATTAAAATAAAGCCCAATTTTTAAAGAAAATGTGTGTATATATTTATATCTATGAAGAGTATAAAATGCATACAACAAGAGCAGATGATGATACAGTATTAGGAAATTGTTTTTAAACACAATAGCTATTATATAATTTAACTGTGCTCTGAAATATATAAGCATTTATAAATCATCTGTTAAATAATAAGCTGTTAAACTTTAAAAATAAATTAAGTGCAGAGCTTATTCTTTCATTTACCACTGATACCTACTGACATGCAAGACTAATATAAACAAAAACATTGTTCTTTGTACTTCAAAATATTTTCTCACTCTGGCGGATAATTTAATTTACATAACCAAACTTATTTTCCAAATTAAACTGCTTAAAAATACAGATAAATTGTAAATAGTGTTTTTCTGTTAATTATAAAATGGGTTACACTTCTTTCTTGTATTCATTATTCATCTGTTTGTTTGTTTATTTTTAAATTGCTGTCAGATTAATGCTGATTTTGGATTAACCATGGACACTGTCCCTGGTATTACCACTATTAGGAGTCTACCTTAATAGAGTATTTGTTTTAGTAACAAAAATAGACAAAATAAAACAGACAATTTAAAAGACAAATGGTCTAAATCCCAACCAGGGGGGAAATTCATAGTTTAAAGGTTGGAATAAGCCCAGCATTTTACTTAGCTGTTAAATAATCAATTTTAGTTTATGAAAATAAACAACTAGTTTTACTAAGTTTTGGTACTTTTCCATTTTGCCTGCACAGGCGATAAAGTCGCCAAAAATAGTACAACCGATGCCAAACGGCATATCCTCGCTGGTAACATTTTATGCCTCACTTTCAAAACAAGTCACAACCATTTCCTATCAGATTGATTGTTTCTTTCAATATTGGCATACAATTACATAGAGTTTTTACAAGATAGTTCAATTTTATGCCCTAAAGCCATTTGCGGTAATTATGTCCATTAGGATGCAATCACACCTCTCAACTGAAGGCGAAAATCTAAAAACGGCAAAATAAAGGATTAAATTCATCAATTCAAATGAGAATGCACTAGCGAAGTAAAGCACTGCAGTTTTACATAATTTCTGAGTAAGCTATTCGTACGAATTGATATAACTCTTGCATTTAAACTTGTATTCCAAGTTAAGATTTAACTTGAAATTAATGTAGATAATTACTGAGAGAATTAGATTTTTGTAGCATAGTTTACGTGAGATGAGATCACTTGGGGTCATGTGATATGAACTGGCAAATAAAGATACTGCACCATGAAAGCATAGTAAATTCCTTAATTAATGTCTTTTTAACAAATTTATTGTCTTTATTTATTGTCTTTTTAAAAAATTTTAAATGATATTAAAATGTTTATGCCTTCAAAATAAAAAAAAAAAAAAAAAACTAGCATTAGTTAACATTTTTAATGTGTATATTGTGTGTTGTATCCAACAAAGTCTACTTGGCGAGATTTGCGCCGGCAAAACGTAAAATTTTTTTTAGTTTTGGAAGGGAAGAGGGGAACAATCTTCTAGCAATGGTAAAAGGGGGTACATGATGAAAAACAGGTTGAGAACTTCTAGTCTAAATGATATAACATAAAAGCTCATCATTTCCATTTATCATATGAGATAATTAAAATGTTTCATTTTCAAGGTATTTTAATCCAAAAATTAGCCAATTCCTTATGCTGACCTTTTACCAAATTGAAAAATTTCCAATTATGCAAATTAATTCAATATACTTGCCCTCCTGAAAAAAAATATTATATTAACTAATTCCCTAGCTTCAAAAAAAATTTTTTTTTAAATTACTGATACAATTTTAGAACTTTCAATTATTATAACTAAGACCAAACAAGCTCAGTATTTCATGGCTGAGCAGAAAAACATACCAAACATTACTTAAAAGTTGAAAATTTTACAACATAAGATACAGATGTTGTACAACAATAACAGTACAAAATATCTAAAAACTACTAGCAAAGATAAATTTTTCCTTCCCATAAAAATAAAAAATTGCAACAAGATCACATTTTTTTTTAGATGCACATCTTCAAATTGATTTTATTATACTTGAATATACATATTTTCTCCTTTAGCTTTTTTAAATCTATGGTTTACTATTTTCAATTATGACAGTAATATAAAATGCATGCTTAGATAGAAAAATATGCTGAGCGAATAAAAAGAACGGTCAAAGTTATGCAGAAATCAATCTTGCACTGACACTGATTTTGAAGATGATCAGATGTAGGTTAGTCTTTCTCAAGAGCTGAAAAACAATTTTGTTATGATAATCTTCACTTGTTTTTCTTTTTTTTTTCCCCTCCCTCACCATCTATTTTATGTACAACTTTCAATGATCAATGTTTTCTTATTTAAGCCTCACCCCTTTCAACTCAGAAATATGCACCATGAAGTTAGTACATAAGCATATCTAAGCACAATTTTTAATATTTTATGTTTTTCATTTAGGTTTTCTCCTCAAAAATGATATGCACCATGTAGTTTGCAGTAACATAGGTATATCTATTTAATGTACAAACTTTAGTGCTTTGTATTTCATTCAAGCCTTTCCCTGGTCATGCACACAATTTCCATGTGTTAAGTAATTCATCCAACTCTTAAGTGTTTCGGCAGAATGCCAGCCATCGCTGCATTAACATACGTGTTTGTTTATTTAGTACTAAATTTTTTCAGGTATCTTTTCTTATCGATTAATCTAACAAACATAAAATTTGTATCTTTGTTCTATCACACACACTGAAAAAAAAATTTTTCAAACGATATTTTCTCAGAATATCTTTTACTTAATTTTTTATTTCTGGTGATATTTTAGATATAATTTCTTTTTTATAACTATAACGTAGCTAATAACAAAAACAGACCTTTAATCAAAAAAAATTAATCCTTAATTTTTAGCTGCTTCATGATTTTAAATGACGATAAGATCAGATTTCTAAATCAAAAAGAAATTTAAATAAATTAATCTTTATATCACAAACTGAAAGACCTTGAAAGAAATGCAATATTAAACATTACATACTTCACTGCTATGCTTATTTTATAATAAATAATTTTTCAACGTTTAGTGGCAGTAATTTTCTTTGTTACTCCCTCACATTTTATGGACCAAAAACATACAACAGAAAACATGCAGATAAAAGATTTTTTTAGCAACAAGGTTTTATTTAATTATACTAATATGTGTAAAAAAATTAGTTACCTCAATATTCTTGATCTTTTGTAACTAAATATGAGAATGCGAATAGCAAATATCAGAAAAGTATAGCAACATTAACAGAATTTCAAGGAAGTACAGAAGCCATAACACAGAAATTAAACATACAAGAATAGCTATACAGTCAAAAGTCTTTAATCCGAACTGGTCGGGACTTCAGTGATTCAGGATTATCGGTTTTCCCGGATTATAGATCATCAGTTTAAATCTGGTAAGATGGCATGCAGAAATTATACAATTAAAAATATGAAATCGTAATTTATGAAATAAAGAGCAATTGTGATCTAAAGGGTATCAAAATTTACAAAATAAAAGCTTAATATTTATTTGTTTACTTTATTAAACACTTCTTTCAACACGCGCATGCATAAAGCATACATTACGCATAGTTGAAATTAGAAAATTGCAACCAGAGAAGTATTTGATGTGTATTCGTGATATTTATAATGACGAGGATATTGATTTAAATTATATCAGAGTACATCAAGATGAAACACTAGATTTAGTGAGGAATTATAAGCCGAATAAAATAAAAACATCTGCCCTGAAGATGAGGATAGTGCTGACAGATCAACTTCCGGTTCATCCCCCCCTCTCCACCGCAGAGCAGCCAGCGTGAAATTGATAAACTAATTTCAGAATGGTTAGAGAAACAAATCACTCTGTCACTTTCTTCATGACTTTATCCATTTTTTGCAGCAATTCTACTTTTTGTTTAATGGACATCGAAACACTTTGTAGATCCTTTGGCAGCTGCAGAATTGGAAACTCTTTTTGACATAATCGAAAGTTCAAGCTAACTTTTTATAAAATTGCTCTAACAGTCTGCAAAAAATTATAAGCCGGATCCAATTCGAAGATTAAGGAAAAACGCAACCTGCAACATTAACTGAAATAGATAATTAGATAATTTTAGCTTAGCTTATACTGTCCGTTATACATTAAACGCACAGGCGTAAACGTATTATGCGCATGTGTTAACGCATGCGCAGAAAGTTTGCAGCTTTGAGGTACGGATGGACTTTTGACTGTATTCATTTTCCTTGAATTCCTATTTGTACAGTTCTGATTTAGAAATCATACTTCTTAAAAGTTCCATGATTTTATTTTTAGTAGCATACAACCAAAAATATTATAATAACTAAAAGAATTATATTTACTATCTATTCCATTTAATTAAAACTGCAAAAGACAAAAAGTTCCTTATATATATAGTAATTTTAAGTGCATATACACCACTGGTACTTTTAGCAGTTTTCAATATCCGTGATGACTGATGGTTAAGGAATACAGATGAAGATGATATCAAAACTGGATTTTGACAAATCACCAATCTTTATTTTCTCACATACAAAAAAAAATTATCCTTTTGCAGACAAGATATTTTTTAATCATAGTGAGAACACAATAATTTCCATGTACACGTGTTTTAAAAGTACGATGTAAGCATTTTAAATTGAGTTTTACTTCCCTTTTTCAAGCAGTGTTATGTAACATGGAAAGATCTCGAATTTGGGAACACTGATGAACAGCATAAAATGTATAATCGTTATCTATAATCTTTAATTTTGAGGTGGCCAATTATTTCTTAAAGCAGCCATCGTATTTTGTTATATCTTACATATACTTTATTGTATTACAATATTTTTTTCATTATAACAGAGTTTTATTGTAAATTTTCCGGGATGATTATCTTACCATTGAAGATACATATGGACATGTGTGTATAAGTGTATATATATTACTATTTTCCCTTTCTTTCTTGGCATTTCTAAGATTTTTTAGAAAAGTAATTTTTCATAGAATACACATAACTTTTAGAAAAGTAATTTCATTAAAGACACATTTTGCATGGAAATAGTTCAGCCTCCCAAACATCAAGAATGGGCATAATAGTTTTGCTACAAAAATACTTGCATAAGATAAATTTATAAAACTACAAACTTATAAAACTATACATATAAGATATATTTAACAAACCTATGATTGAGCTTGAAGGTACTAGACGATAATTGTGACGTTTATATTGTTGTACTCGATCTCTAGCTTTAGCAACTGCTTGTTTACATGCCCCTGAACCTGAAATAGGAAATGTATACTAAGCACAATACATTCTTTCTTGTAAAAATTTTAAAACAAATCATTGAAGCTATATAAAATCTACATTCAGCACAAAATGTAATTTATGCCATTTCATTCCAAATATTTTATTAAGTAAAACTTACAACTCAGTCGGTAAAACTCATCATTCTCTCATTTCAGATGTTTGCTTGACAATGATTCAATTCTTAAAAAGGGTTGCAATGCTTATTTCTTTGATCTTGAGGTCTGATTTCTTTGTTTCAACTATTCCCAATTAGATTTCTGAAGCCCCCATGGCTTCCATTAATTAATCACAATTATTTTTTTCCACCCAAGATAGACATAAACTGTTTCTCCTGCCAGTTTTCAGTGAATTGTTTTAACCTGCCAAACATACTGTACTGAAAAATGTCTTATGAAAAGAGAAAGAAACAAAATAATGATATGTGATCCTAAATTAGATCTGATTATTATAATTGAAAACTGAATAAAAGAATTTACATGCTACGGAACATGGACTTGAAGGTGAAGCAAGCTCTGCATACATAGTTAACATCACCAGGACTGACACTGTAAAAACTTATAACATGAAAGGGCAGGTGAAAAAAACAAGTGTATTATAGGCACCCCACCTACTGTCTGTTAACCAAAAATGCATATAAAAAGACAATTCAAAGCAGTGTTTTGAGAAGCTTAATCAATATATGTGAAAATGTTTGAGACTCTGATGAAACATGGATGCAGCATGACACACCTGAAACAAAGCAATGGATAGTGAGAGATGCCAAACAGATCATCTTCTAGGCTAGGATGAAGACTATCCTATTTATGGAAGGGGGGAAAAGTTACAAGAACAACAGCCTACTGTAAGATTTTATTAAGTTAAGTATATGAAAAACAGAATATGAGTAACCGAGATTGATTCATTCTTTCAAACAGGACAGCATACCATTTCACAAATCAATTACTGCAATGACAAAACTACATGAAATATTTCAAGCCTGATTTCTCATTTGTACTACCAAGAAAACTACTACCAAGTAACTCTCAATCAACAAAGCTGAAAACTTGGGTTGGGAAAAAATTCTTGAACAAGAACGCAATTACTTGCTGCATAGCTGAAAACCTTATACTGGAAAAATGGCACTGCCATTTCATAAAAGGGCCCCAAACTGCCTTAAATTCACTTTGTAACGAAGATTCAGACTAATGAACTATTTAATAATATTTCTACCCTAAAATATATTATTATTTAATAAATATTCTCTATTTGTTTAAAGCTAATATAAAATAAAATTTAATTAAGAAAATTTTAATTGCAAAAATAAAAATAAAATTTATTATTGCTGTGCACTAATTTACAATATCATTTAAATTCTAAGAGCCTATGTAAATTAAGTGCATGTATCTAAAATCATGAAAAATATATTATTCCAAAAATTAAATTGCATAAGCGAATAATTGTTGAGCAGGCAGGAGACAGACTTATCATGGGGAAGTTGCCTCCAAAACTAACTCTTCAATTAATAAATTCATGTTTCGTCATCCATATAGGAAAGGGTAAAAGTTAAATTCAAACCCAAAAGTAAAACCAAATGTTGTGAATTATTGTGCTTCTAATTTCATTTGGGAATTTTTTCAGTTATTACACTCAGAAAATCATGACTATAGAAGAAAAACTTTTATTAATTACTTTTAAACATGATAAAAATAATATTAATAATTAATGTACTTACTGTTGTACAAGCATCTTAATATATATATGAATACATTCACATTTCAACCATTTTGTTTTAAATTTTGAAGGCAAGTAAGTTAATTTTGATTTCCTTCCTAGCATTGCTTCTAAATTTGTATATAAATAACTACTTGTAACTTAACATATTAATATAAAAGAATATATAAATTTTAATTTACTTTTTTACACATTACATTATAAAATGTAAATTTCATTTTTATTTTTGATTTTGAGTTTGATTATAAAATAATGTTTTAAACTAAAATAATGTTATACATTTGTATATTTTTCTACTAATGTCTTCTTTTGTATATATTAGTTTGTACAAGTATCGATAGTTTTTTAATTGTTTTTATTGTTTTTACATTACTGTGAGAGTGTTGGGGAATATTTTTTCTAAAATAAGAATCTCATTTAAAATAGTTCCTAACGAATATCTTACTCATTTTTATTTTTATTTTAGATTTTGTTTATGACAAAAATTTTTGACTGAAGTAAACTAATATCTTTTTAACAATTATTATTCATAGCTTATGATCTTACTCTAGCAAAATAACTAATTTGAACCTTACTTAGAATGAAAAACTCTTGCTTAATTTGGTTATTGTTAATTGATAGCAGATTGGTTTCTTCCCCTTGACAAGTTAATTAATCTGTGATCAATGACAATAGCTACATTTTCATTACTTTAAATTTAATTAATATTTAGAATTTTTATGGTTAATTTTTTTTCTATACAGATTTTAAATCATTTTTAATACAACAGAAATCTAAATAACTTTAAATACTGAGATTAATTAATTGAGATTTAAGAGATTAATTGAGATTTTAAGAGATTGAAAATAACAGTAATTATTTTCAATTTCAATTTAAGAGATTAATCAGTCAAGCCACTTCTACAGTTTTCTGCCCTTCCTGCAGAGGCAAAATAAAAAAATAAATAAATAAATAAAATTAAAAAAAAAAAATCTCAAATGTTTCAGATTTTAAATTACGTCCAAAGGGGCGTTTTTTAACATTTTGTGTGTTACCTTTCTTTTATAAATATCATGTTCCTCGCACTTAAACCATAAGATCCAGTGCAACAGCAATATCGCAAAATAGTTTTAAAAAAGCATCTTTAGAATTTCCGATACAGAGACTCACGCGCTGGAGATAAAAATGTTTTTTTCTGCACAACGTTGCCATTGCTCACTTTGAAATCCTTGAGTTTGTTAATCAAAAATTCGTCAAAGTTTTAAAAAATAGGAAATCGATCATAAAACAAATTTCAAATTTGGTCTTCTACATGCTCATATTCGTTGGAGGATTACGTTATTCAAAATTCGATGACTCTATGTACCGTTGTTTTATCACAATACGAGAAATATATATACATTTATGCAGATTTTTCATTATTTAATTTCTTCAAATATAATGCAGGACTCTAACATTTTGTGGCAACAGTTTGAAAAGTGAACCGACATTTATGAGTCCGACGCAAAATGCCAAAACGAAACTAATAGTCCTTCGGGATTCAAATCCCTTTGGACTAATAAATAATAAAAAATAGTTTTGTAAATGTGGAAATTTTTTTTCCAGATCAGCTGTTACAAAAACAGCATACTAGTCTACCAATCAAGTAATTTTATCAAGCACCAGTCTGAGCTGACTTGTTGAATATTTACAACACACCAAGAATTTTTTTTATTAGTTTATTTCATTAAAAAAACTGAACAATATAAAAAACAATGTTAATAATAATAAAATACAATCTGAACACTTCAGATTATAATCTAATACCTTAAATAATTAACCACTAATTTCCAAAAAAGGGAGAGAGAAAAATTTTATACAAAAGCTATCAGACTAAAATGATATGGCAATTTCAGTTAAATATATATTAAAAAAATAATTATAATAAGCTAAGCAATTACAAGTGCCCTATCAACTAATTAAAAATTCAAAAAATTCAAACTGTCACAGCCAAAAGCAGGAAACAAAATTTATTATACCATTTCATTGTGAATTAATTTCATACAGAGATTTATGCATTTATTTAATAAAGAAAAGACTTAAGTATTCCATATGCAGTTGTGTATTTTATTAAATACTTATAAAGCTTTTTATTTTCAAATAATCTTATGAAAATGTATACTTTCCACAAGCAATAATTAATCAGCAGTTTTATAGCTACACAATCCATTATTGAAATATATTATACCACAAGGCCTAAAATGTTTATCATATTACACAGATATTTATCCTTTATCTTAATGATTGAAAATGAAATGTATTCAGAAACATGCTGTAATGAAACAAAGATTGGAAAAAGTCAACTGAATATTCATATGCAACTTATGGCATTTTATTTAATCCACATATAAAATATAAATGATGGACAATTTTTTTAAAAAATCATATAAAGGTATGAGCTTTTATAGCTTTTCTTAATTCCTATCTCATCTTTAATTTGCTGCTCATGATATTAAATTTTGAAAACTCTAGGAAATATTGTCAAATTTGAGAATAATGTTTCAACAAAAGTTTATTCTTTCAGTCATAAGCACCCTTTTAGTATAGCTACTTTTCAACCATTTTAGTGTAACCACAGCTTATAAAGCTTTTTCATAAGTAGTGAATCAATCAAAGGGTGAAAAACCAAACAAGTTTAAAACTTGCATGACACATATATCTACTTCCTTCTAGTTCCCATCAAAACGGGGCATGAGGTTTCACCCTCTGCTTCTTGTGCCCGTGATATTTTGGGGCTGGAAAGTTTGTTCAAAAGAAAAGCAGCAAAAAGATTTTAAAACATCCATTTCTTACATCCGGAATTTTTTTTATTTCTTATTTTACATATCAGATGGCAGTACCCTTGATTTAAAGCTAAAAAATATTTCAAAATTAAAAATGAATATATTGTTCATACAATTATTTTAAAACAATTTTCTTGAATCAAAAAATAGGCATCTTTTTTTACTGTTTTGTTGAAAAATATGCAATTGTTGAGGGATTAATAAACCCGTGTGTGTATAATTTTTCTCATAAAAATTCGAGATTTTTTTTTAATTTTGTACCAGCTAATGTGCAGAGCAATATATGCTATATTTGACAACAAAAAACTTTATTTTAATCAGCGGATTAAAATTTATGACTTACAATGAAAGATTGACATTCTGGTAAATTCAACTAATAATGATGCTTAATGAAAATAAAGAATTTAAGCTATGTTGATTTAACACTACAATTATCAACATTCTCCACGTGATGAAAATAGGTGAAAGTATTAATTGCTCGATTAATACTTAGAAAGGAAGGATTAGCTACTACTTCACAGTCCCATTTGAATTCCCTTTACTTTTTACTTCCTTGTATGAAGTAAAAAGAAAATACTGTAATAATGAAAAGATTCAGGCAGCATATTTCAACAAAAATATCCATTTTGACCACTGCATAACTCAAAAATGAGTAGCCTCAGAACGTTGAAAGTTTGTATATAAGACTGCTATAACATGTAGATGTGCACCTTGTATTTTGGTTGCAATCAGCCGCACCAAACGTATATAAATATATTTATATATATATCCACTCTGTTACTCGGCTCAGTGATCTCGGTTTCTTTACTCTTATATGTCTGTGCATTTTTTGCTTTAAAAATGATTGAATTATATTGTTCTTATCTTCCAGTTAAGGTTTTTATGCCTTTAAATCTGTAAATCTGCAAGCACTATTTGTACAATTATCAACAATTTAAAAGCTGTTTAAGTGCGGTTAAGCCTTAAGTTTGAAATAACATGGCGGACATATTTGTTTACATTTAAAACAGCAGAATAGTAGATTTGTTGCCAATCTAGAGAGACTAAGCTTCGCAACAACAAAGATAACGTCTTCATTTGTTATTGCAAATTAAATCATGCTTAATCCTTTCTGGAATTTTTTTGAGGAAATAAGTGTTTAAGATTTACTTCGTAATTTATAATACAGATATTTTGAGTTTTTATGTATTTTTGCCTTGTCGCGAAAAGAGAACTGAATTATTTGAATGAGAAATACTGAATCATCTGTGAAAAACTTTTTTTTTTTTTTTTTTTTTTTTTTTTTTTTTTTTGCTTAATTTCTTTTATACATCGTTCTAGATATATTAGAGTATTTGAATAGAACATGTGGCAACAAAAATTCTTCAAATGATACAAATTTTGTGCATTCTAAGTTATAATATGAACGAAATATAATGCTGTTAAGTGAACCTTTACCATAGCGCCAGAGTATTGCTATGGTAAACAAATATAGTGAATTTTAAAGAGTGCATTTATTCTATTGTGGTTTATGCGCTATTGACGAAGTAGATTTAATTCAGTCCAATAAGTTTAAATGAAATGCAAGAAAAAATGCGTATAATTTAATATTCCGTACAAGGAAGTCATGTGGTGTACACATCAGTTGTTTTTTTTTTTTTTTTTTTTTTTTGGTTCTTTTAAAACATTTTGATTTCTCATTTCGTTCAACAATTAGATCTTCCTCATGACTTAATAATAACATAAATACTACATTAAAACTTCAAAATAAAATTATTATAACTACTAACAGCAATACCGTAATACACTGGATAAGATACTTTGCCTAAAAAGATTATTCTCCTCTCTTAAACTGAGGAAACAAAGATAAAATACAAAATTTCAAATTTACCAGTATACTTCAGTTCATTCATATCTCTGCTATGAACATCCGGCAAATAATGTGATACTTCCTTTAAAGAGGAGGAAAAAATAGATTAGTCTTCAAAATATCTAATTTTAAAAGTTTAGAAACAGATTACCCATAACTACATTCCTAAAAAAGTATGCTTTAATAACATCAAAAAGACAGAAAAAATGGTTACTAGCTGGTTAAAGCTTTACTCTTCCAAAACACAAAACTTGTTGTTGAGTAACAGATTTTACGTTAAACTAACAAAAAATAAAAAATAAAAATCTGAAGGTTTCAGATTTTAAAATGCATGATTCAGGTTATTGAAATATTAATATGATTTTGATGCAAAATACATTAACATTTAGTAATCAAGTATACTAAATATACATTTTCCAATTAATTCCTTTTTGTAGTTTTCTTACTATTTTATACTGAGAAAATCCTGAATACAGAAGAAAAACTTTTTTTGGTCAAAGTACTTTTTTTGGTCAAAGTATTTTTTTGGTCAAAGTATTTTTTGGTCAAAATACAATGAAAATAAAATTAATAAAACAATTATCTGGATAAACTTAGTAATGTACCATATACTGACCTAAAACAAAATTAAATAGAAATATTATATATATGTAACTCATTAAATCCTAGCTGCATATCCACAAAAAGCTGTGCAAATATCTGCAGTTGATTAACACAACCAAATCAACTAAATTAAAAAAGAAAAATTATGCTAAAATAAACTGGGGTGGGGGATGAAATTTGCACATAAATAATTTCCTTAAAAAATGTTAATAATTATGACCAGAAGATTTGTTGATATATCTGGAAATGTGGTGGAAAACTCTAAGAGTTGGCAGCTATGGGATATGTAAAAATACTGGCACAGAGATACAAATGCAAAATGCATAAATATACTGATACTGAATACAAAATAAACAATAAATATGAATGGTAGTTTAAAATCCATAATTAAAAATATGAAGTCAAATTTATTGAGATATCAATACTAGAGTACATATTTGAAACTAAATATAAAATGTGTTTTTTAACACAAATGACAGCATTAAATATGTCAGCTAGGGATACTGCAACTTACTCTTTGAGCTTCAAAAATAATTGCACATTTATTAGCAAGTTCCACATAAGCTTCTGACAATTTTAAGAGACCATCTTTAAGTCGAACAACTTTGATGGCTTCATTTTTGTGAGCCAATTCAACAACTAAGAGAGGGACAGAAAACTGAGTTTAGTAAAATCATTCATAAATGCATATAATTAAAAGCAAAATGCACATTTTTTAAAGATGAGACAAATATAAAAAATAAATGAATAAAAATTTTTCTCTTTTTGTAATTATTTATAAACAGCTAACATCATATGATGTTAACTAGAATTTTCAGAAAATGTACATAATATTACTTTCCTCGTGTTTTAACCCCTTAACTGCCGCTGGCGTACATATACGCCTTGCTCAGCCGATGCGTTAACTGCCCCGGGCGTATATATACGCCCTTACAAAATACTATCAGTTGCTTTGCGCTGCTACCCGTTAAATTATTCGCAAACTTTTGGAATGCAACACCAGAATGACCTTGACGAAGTATGTGAAGGAGGATATTATTTCAGAGAAGTGTGGGGAGAAATTGGAGAGAGGGACGTGTGTCTAAAGCGGCTGAAAGTAATAACTGCGCACTGGTATTAGGCTAGTGTTGTTTGAGTAAAACGTATTTTTTTTTTTATTTTTATTCTGTGTCCTTTCCGTTTTCGTTTACTTTTTGTAGTAGGTTACAAGGAATAAAGAAAGATATAAGGATGTTTTTCAAACCCATTTATCATTTCTTGAATTATTTTTTGATGAACTGCTCGTGCTTTATATTGCTACTGAACTAACCGTTTTGTAGACGAAGTATATGAACCAACAAAACCTTGCAAACGAAAAATCAAGAACAAATATCGTGGCATTCAACCAATTCAGAAGAAATATATGTTTCTATAGGCATACTGATTTCACAAGGTATATAACACTGAAACATGATATTACACTTTACTGGTCTAAAAATAAATTGATCAAAAACCCATTATAGGGACTTTTTTTATTATAAAAACATCCTTTTTATTACATTTTTACTCAAAATATTAAATTTTGTGCATGCATTTTTTTTCTTTTACTGTTTATTTTGTGAAAGTAAACAATTTTTAGAAAGTAAAACTTGCTCTTACTTTCCCCCTAATAAATCGCATAACTACGCGCGTATATGTGAAAAACCGTGGCACTGCGGAATGAATCTTGTACATTTTCCGCGGCAGTTAAGGGGTTAAAATAAAACCTACCACAAATGATGTCCAAATACTGGAATTTAAGTACATAATTTCTTTTATTGCTTATACAATGGACAGAAATCTTTCAAATTCCCTTTATTATAATAATAACTCATACAAAAGTTTTCTAAAAATATTAAATGATTCTTGAAGGTTTTCATACCTCCATAAGCAGGACAAACAAGTTTCTACCACAGCAGATGCACAAATATAAAAAATTAGCTGGATGAAGCTAATTTTTGAACTTATTTCAAATTTATATGATTATGGTTACATTTTATTCATGCGTAATACAGTTAAATTACTAATTTAAATATTTTAATTTTCCATAAAATTTAACTAAGCTCATTTGCGTGCTTGCATTAATTCTTGGTATATGTTATGAGATCTGCTTTCACATCTATGAATTTACATAGTTTACGAAACTGAATTACAATACATATCAGTAGCAAAATAACATAATTATTTAGTATAAGGAAACTAAACATATTATTAGTTGGCTAAGTCTATATCAAAACACATGGAAATTCACATACATGCAAATACCCACAGAAGCTTTTGTTACAAAAGCAAGTGGCTTCTCCACTTGGAATGTGTAATATTTTTTAAACTGTTCACATATTGCTTGTGCAGCGATATCAAGAATTAGCTGACAGAGACAAAATCAAATATCTACAGTCACTACAATAAAATTTGTCAAACATTATAATGAAGGTTTCATCTTGTTTGGAATAGTAAGTAATTCATTATTCGTGGAAGTGAGAAATATTATTTGGGTAAGCAGGAAAAATTCAGAGCTGAAAAGGATAAAAACAGCATTTTGAACTAAAATGAAATTAAAAAAATTATGAAAATTTGAATAAGGATTTACAGTACTTATCTGTTTCGCTGGCGCAAATCTCACCAAGCAGACTTTATTGCCGACAACATACAGTATACACATAAAAAATGTTAACTAATGTTAGTTCTTTTTTTTTTTTTTTATTTTGAAGGCATAAACATTTTAATATCATTTAAAATTTTGTAAAAGCCAATAAATAAACACAATAAATTTGTAAAAAGACATTAATTAAGGAATTTACTATGCTTTCATGGTTCAACATCCCAATTCGTCGGTTCATATCACGTTTCTCCAAGTGTTATCACCTCACATAAACTATGCTACAAAAATCTAATTCTCTCAGTAATTATCTATATTAATTTCAAGTTAAATCTTAATTTGGAATACAAGTTTAAATGCAAAAATTATTTCGATTCGTACGAATAGCTTACTCAGACATTATGTAAAACCACAATGCTTCACTTGGCTAGTGCACTGTCATTAGAATTGATGAATTTAACCCTTGACATTGCTTTTCCGTATTTTCGACTTTGGGTGAGCCATATAATTGCATCCTAATTGACTTAATGACATCGAATGGCTTTAGGGCATAAAAGTTAACTATCTGGTAAAAATTCCATGTAATTGCATGCCAGTATTGAAAGAAACAATCAATATGATAAGAAATGGCTACGAATTGTTTTACCAATATTGGAAAAACAATCAATATGATATGAAACGGCTGCAAATTGTTTTGAAAATGAGGCGTAAAAGATTACTAGCCAGGATATTCCGTTTGGCATCAGTTTTACCATTACTGGCAATTTTATTGTCTGCACTGGCAAAACGGAAAACTACCGGATTTACATATTAAGTACAGTAGCCATAATATAAGACACAATGACATAGTATCAGAAGATTGTGATATTGGTAAATATTTATAATAGAAGATAATATTTGCCCACAGTGAGTTTGATTAATGCAACAATAGCCTCAAGTGATAACAAATATGCACCACAAATTGTGTGGAAATCACAATTTAAGGAATAATTTTTTAAAAAATTTTAAGAAATCATATACACTGATACCACAATGTATATGATTCCTTAAAAATGCAAGCCTCTGTTAAACAGCGATACAAGTCCAGGTAAATGTGCCGTGACACCAAATCACCACAATCATATGGTATATTTTCACCACATTAACTCTTCAGTTCCACCCAAATTTTGAATGAAAATCTACCCAAATCTCATGGGCGGTTCAAGAGTTTCCCAGCCCTCTTCCTCTATCAATCTTTTGAAGGCCTTTTGACACCCTGTTCATTTTGAAAGTGTCTTTTGCCTCACAGACACTGTAAACTTACAGATATCTATGCCTTCTCCAGGATTCAAACATAGCCCACCAGTACAGAAGTCTATTTCATAAACCATACTGGCTGGCAGCCTATATATTACATCAGAACTTATTACTACTTTAAAAAGGATAAATGGGCATCATTTCCTACTGTATTAACTAACATTACTTCTAAAGTGCATGCATAGCTAAGCACTAATTTTTGTGAAATTTCCCACTTGATTCTTATATATGATTATTGTGAAAAAGCACAGCATTTTTTTTTTTTTTTTTTTTTTTTTTAAAGATATTGCGATGCCAAAATTGCCCATAAACAATTTGAACAGCACAGCAAAGACTCTAAATTGTTAACCTTTTGCTCTGATTCAATGACTGGCTTTTGATAAACTTATTCAGAGAGAATTAATCAAAATTATTATCTTGATAACTATCCTGATTGGCATATTAAATGGAAAGATCCCTTCAATCTATACAATCTCTGGATTCAGTGCAGCCTGCATGTTTCCAGATACTCACTGTAAACTTTTGCCAAATCTGTTGTTGCTTTTTATCCAAATGTTTAGCTTAAAATGTGAGAGATGCATATTCTGGATTAGCATTTCCCAACCCTTGTAGAATCTTAATATAAGATTAACATTTAAAGAAAAGCCCACTAAACATTTCAAAAGATTATTCTACATAATCAATCTGAATCCAGTGCAAACATTCCAAACATTTAGCCTATTCAAAATGTAATTTCAGAAAACACTAGTTAAGAAACACTGTTTTAAACAGTAGTTTAGAAATGTCATTCCAGGTAAAGGTCCATGATAATCTAAACACACACACATACACACACACACACACACACATGTATCTTTGACAATTACTTGACAGTATCTATCACCTTTAAATCCAGTTTTTGAAAAATTTGTTTATGCAAAAGGGAACTTAAACTATCTTGCTTGGAATGGAAAAGAAGCAGTAATTATATAGATGCTATTTTATTAATTAGTAAATTTATATAATTAAATATGGTACCTAAATTATTTAAACACAATGCCAGTTAATGTACAATGACACTTAATTTCTATTTTTTACAAGATAAATGTTCCCTTACCTTCTAACTGAGCTAGATATTTAGCTCGCTCTGCTTGAGATAATTTTATTTCTAAATTATTTATTTCTTCTTCTGTTGCTTTCTAAAAGAAAAAAAGAAACACAATTACATGAAAAGTAGAGAAATTCAAATCTGAATCAAATGATAAGCAAGTAAATAAAATATAAGTTTCAACCAATAAAGTTAAATGCATAATTAAATATTCAATGTACACAACTTGACTAAATTAAAGAATATTGATAGAAATAAAATCTAACTGTTGCTTATTGAAAAATGTTTAAACACAATTAGTAAAAAAGCATTACTTAATATAAAATACTATGTTTGCTAGTTGATTAATCTCAAAACATTAAAATCAAATTTATGAAATTTTAAACAATGAGAAAATTATCTCCTGTTTTACGATAACTCTTTCTTTAATACAATGTATGTCCACCTCTGACAGAAATTCAAACACCATATCTTGATTTTATAAAATTGTACCCAACCAATGGTCTTGGAGAACACTATTTCTGAAAGTGCAGTCCTGGAGGATTTGGGAACATTTATGCTTGGTGTGCTGCAATTTGATGTCTAAGACATTCCCCATTTCTCAATTAAGTTCAAGCAAGCCAGCTAATTCATTTGAGAATTATCTTCTATTTCTAAGTATTCTGACACCAAAAATAGTGGGCATCAACCAGCTGTAACATCCATTAAACATCTGGGACAACAGCACCTCTAAACTGCCTCACATGGGATTCTGAAATATGATCCACATATCTGAGACACATTTTTCCGTCAAAGATATGCAGCTTGGTGTGGCCATTTTTATGATTCCATCCCATACCATTACACTAGTTCTGTGGAAACGAGATCTTTCATGAACAAGAGAAGGCACTGCAGACTTTTCTTTGCTTCCACATTAAAATATGTGCAGAATCACAATTCAAGATTATATTTGGGCTCATCGGTAAACAATACACATTTCCATTTCTCTTGGTTTCACCAAACATGATGACAACATCAACTTAAACATGACACTTGGAATATGGAGTAAACGGGGCAGAAACATTGGCTTTCAAGCATTAACTTCATGAAGTCTTCATGGGGCAGCAGACTAACTCTGATTCAAATTCCTGCAGTAGTTTCAGGGTCTAAAACCATCATATTGTTGTTTCACAGTTTCTCTGAACGAACAATGGCAGAAAACTGTCTTCAGATACAGTTGTTCTTGGCTGCCTATGACCAGATTGGCATAGGCAGCCATATTAATTGATTCATTCTTTGAAAATGCAGTTCAAAGTTTTTGATATGACATTTTAAGAAACATACAGATCTTGGGCAACCTTCACATGTGTCTGCTCCCCTTTGAGTTTAAAAAATTAACTATCACTTCTGGTCTTCACTTAAATGGACTAATGACCCATGAATACTGATTGATCACTTTTAAAAACCACATAAGCAACATTGCACACTAAATTCCAACATGTACTCATTGTGCCAACATATATATCAAGTGCCAAGCTATGCACAGTACTTCTTTTTTTTTTAACTTCATTCTTTTAACATATAAAAAGAAGGCATGTTAGTCCGGCTACTAATCATTTGAATAGCATTACAATCTGCTTTCTATTACTATATAAGGTTTTTAGTTTATTAATGAGTTATTTTGTGTTAATGTGCTTTTCTGTCTCATTCCTCCATTTTCCTGCCAGAATGTAAATTTCTAGCTCATGTGTATTCAAATGAGGTAGTACAGTTAGTATTTAAAGGAAGATTTTAGAGGGTAGAATCAGAGCATGTTTCGCCTGCTGAAGGCCTCATTGCGAGCTGTATTCTGCAGTGTTGCCTTATTCTCGCTGTTAGACTTGTTACATCAACTTGCACGTTTCTTAATCTATGTAGCTGTTCGGCTAACTTACGTTTATTTAGTTAAGTCAAATTCAGTACTTTTGATTTAAGACATAAATGCTGGCTAGTCTGTAAGCAGAAGTGATGCCTTCTGTTAAACTTTATTTGAGTTCAATAAAAGTGTCTTTTACACCTTTTCTTAGTCTCTGTGATAACTTTGAAGACAAAAAGTGATAATTCACTTAAAGTCTTAAAAGTTTTGTACATTTGATGCGACCATAGAAAATGAGATTTCATAACTTTGTATATCTTAATAGCATTTCAATCTTGATTTCAAACATTTCTACACCAGAACATTAAAAGCTCATAAAATGGAACATTATTAAACAGCCATAAAGAGGACAAACATTTTCAAGCCAATGTTTTAACTCTAAAAATGAGTCTTGAGAAATATCCGATGATTAATAGATATAAATGATCTTGAAATCTCATGATTAATAGATAAAAATGATCTTGAAACTTCAATAAATACATAATTGTTGTACTATATTTATTAAATCAATATACTAGTGTAGCATTAGTTTATTTCTGATAAAGGGAAACCAAGCTGTAAGATATAATAGCATTTCCATGTTTGTGTTCTCGTGGTTTATTGGACTAGCATACCCAGATAGCAAATGGAAGATCTATGGTTCAAATGTTAACAAGCATATGGTTTGTTTTTTACATCTTCTGCTCCAAAAAAAAACTAATGATTTCTACAATGGCACTTGAACAAAATTGTGGTAGATGATAACCATTGCCTATATTTTGTCCTGTGCCAAATATCATATACCTCATATATGGTCTAGTGATTTATTTAGTATGTCCAGCTAGCAAGCAGGACATTTGTGGTTCAAATCCTTGCAACGGCACAACTGACTTTCCTATTTCCTACCCTGAAAAACCTAAATGATCTTTAAAGGTGTGTTTTTAGACGGTTCAGATATATAATCAGACATGATATACCAGAAAATAATTAATTTATTTCATGATATGATGTAAGAAAAGCCTTGTATCTTCAATATTTGCAGTATAGTGGGAAAGGTCTCAAGAGCATCGATGAAAGCCATTTGATTCAAACACAATTTTTTATCCAAATTCATTGAACCATTTTTAAAGAAATAAATATTGAATTGAAGCTGACTATTTTCAATTATAGAAATAAAAGGAGTATTTCAGTTCATGCCCAAAATAAAAAATGAAGTAAACTGATTGATTTGTTCAATAATAAGTTTCCACAGACAAATAATATATATAATTTTTAAAACATGGGCTGCATAGGCAATTACCTTAGAAGCTCTTTTTAATTCCTTACGTATCCTTTGTTCATGTTGCTCACAACTCACCTATAAAATTGAAGACATTTAAATACATGAAACATTAAAATAAATAAAGAAAGAAATACAGAAATAAATAAAATTAAAATAAAATTCTATATAAATGCCTTCCTGCTGCTAAGTTAAAATTAAAGATATTGTTCAAAAAATGTTAGGGTTACAGAAAATATATTGGAAAACAACACTGCTATACTGTTAGTCCTTTAATTTAACAATGACAATCATTCTAGAGATTCATCCTATACATAAATCAGGCTTTTATTTAACATAAAACATCTATAACAATGAATAAATTTACTTAAATGCTAATAACACATAGGTTGTGATAGAAACAGCATATGAATTTATTTTGGGCAAAACCTTACTGATGGGGTATTTGAAAATAATACACTTTATTTATTTTAGTTATAATTTAAAAGCATGAAAATTATTTTTAAGTTAACCATGCAGGTGGATATGAAGTTTTTTTTTTAATATGAAATGTTTTGACACATTTTTAATAAAACTGAATTGTTTAAATATATCAAAATCAAACCAAAAAAGCAGTATCTAAACTTTCCAAAAAAAAAACAACATTTTGTAACAGCAGGAAAGGAGACATATTTAGGGAACAATAATTGGAAAAAAGTGTTAAAAAGGAAGCAAAAACAGAAATTAAATATAAAAGTAATATCACTCATAGTAGTAATCATTCATAATATAAATATATGTATATTTTAAAACGTTATGGTTTTTGCATAAAAGAATTTTTAGCACAGGAGTTTCTGTTATTTAAATAAAAATAATCCAAATATAATGTAAAAAAGTGTGAAAAGTACGGTAGTAGTGAAAGTGTGAAAATAGAGCCACACATAGAGGGTTAAATATTTGTTTTCTTAAAATCTAAGCAGGTATATCAAACTGCTGCACGACAGACACGGCTAAAAAAGCAAAAAGGATTCACTTAACATTTTCATAGCCATATGTTTCATTACAGAAAATTTGGGGGGGGGAATAGGATAGTCGTCAGTGCTCTTGAAATAGCTATTAACAACAGCAACTGTTTATTAGTATAATGAAAGTCATTTTTGTTGGCAAATGCTATTAATTTCAGTCCACTAAAAATCTACAAAAAAAAAAAAAAAAAAAAAAAAAAAAAAAAAAAGGTGAGAGCTCTTCCCTCCCACCCTTTCCAGACATAGTACCTTAATTTTTTTCCTTAATTTTAATTTAATACCAATACCTAAATTTTCAGAAGCAAATTTCAGAGCATAATGCAAGAGGTGATTCAAACCACCCAGCTTCACAATTTTATTGTTTTTGCATTTAACTGAGTGTCCTGTTTATATATATATATATATATAAGAAAGAGAAACCTATTCAGTGAAGTGAAATCAAAGGAAATTCAATTTAACTGTGCAGAGACATTAGGATTTTTGTTGAAGGCCGGAGAGATGAAAAATTAGCAACCGCCTTTGCCGCGAATTGTACCACGGACATCTGAAATACCGGCTCATGGTGCTGACCACTACACCATGAAGGCATGCTAGGAAGGTGGGAGAAATACCTTATATACTCTCCCTTTTAAAGGGCGACTGAGGTTCTTAGGGGACCCAACTGCCAAATCCTGGATGTAGAGAATCCTCATCCAACAACCTTTTTAGTTCAGGCACCACTGTAGAGACATTAGGATTTTTGTTGGAGGCCGGAGAGATGAAAAATTAGCAACCGCTTCACCCGGGAATTGAATTACGTTTTAGTGAATGAAAAGAAAATATTTTAAATTAGTAAGCATGTGTAATGCCTTTGCATTGCTATGAAGCGAAATAATAGGGAAATAAAGCCAGAGAGAAATGTGAAGTCCTTGAACTTGAAATGTTTCAGTTGTGTAAGTTCAAAAAATAAAATGATTGATGTTTGACCAACACTAGTAAAATTATTTTTAAAACTTCATTACAAGCATTATTCACATTCATCTCACTTACTTCATATCACATTATAGTGATATGTCACCACATTTATGTTCTAAACTATCTATTTACTCTGAAGGATGAAATTCTAAAAATGGTTTGTTTTGTGAATAAGCAGACAGGATTAGTTTTTTGGATTTATTGACTGCACATCATTTCCGTATTATCTTACTTACTTATGTGACAAACTGACATTTTAGATCACTTACATATTGTTCAATTCCACTTTCTCTGTCAGGTTACATATATTTGATATATAAAGCATTAATAATTAATCCCTCCCCCCCCAAAAAAAAGCATTCATATCTAATACCATACCACGTTAGCATTTCACAAAGATATAGCTTATAGAAAATTATAATTCTGCTGTTAAGATAAAAGAGCATTCTGTTGAGCCAGTACAACTTTGTAACGAGCTGAAAACACCAACACACAAAATAAGGAAAACACGCGGGAAAGTTGTAGACACATCCACGCATGCACAAATTTAGCTTCTCTCATTGGCTAGGGCTAACACCGCGTTTCGCAGGTATGAACGGAACTCCCATATTTTATGCTCTTATAACTATACAGCCCTTTATGCCCCCATCTGAACACAGCCTTATTTTTTCTCAGTCATTATTATTATGCAAAGTTATTTTGTGTGTCATAAACTCTGAAACATGGTCCCAAACATAAACCAACTTTACACACTTCACATCAAATAAAAGTCTTAACATATATATATATATTTTTTTTTTTTCTATTTTTTCTTTCTTGGAGAAATACACAGCTAGTTCTATTTGTTCAACTATGTCCTCTAGATTCCTTTTTTTATAGAAAATGGTGGCATACAGCTGGCATAATAAATTTTTACAAGGTGAATACAGCCCATGGAACAGCATCACTGGAATGTTTTAATGAATAAATTTAAAGCTTTTTTGCAAATTTTCTATGGAAAAATAAACCCTGTAGTGTCACAATTTTACCCTGCATAGTGAAAGAGAGGGATTAGTATCAAAATGAAGGGAGGAAATTCTTCGCCCGTAATTCTCCCATGAACCGTAGTAGAGGACCAACTTGACAACCTACTCAAATCACGGGAGCTACAGATAAAGGGTTACGATTTGCAAAATAATTGGAAAAATTTACAAATAATTTGGTGTCCAATTTTGTTTTATTTATGATCTTTGCACTGATTATGCTGCATTAATTCAAACTGGCTCCACAAGAAATGCTAAAATATGTTGGTCAAAACACTATAAGCATGATTTATTGTCATCTTTGATGCTACACCATTTGAAAGTATTTCCCCCCTTTTTTTAACATCCTGTTTAATACTGAAAATTTTTCTTTGTTTTTTGGCTGGAATAAGACATGATGACTCAACTTTTGAATGGAAATCTGAACACCATTTAGTAAAAATTTTTTCTTTCACTGAAAATGAATATGTGTATATGAAGGAGTAAATAGCATCTCAAAACAATTCATAAGAAAGAAACAATACCAGATTCTAAAAATGAAGACTTCCTTGTATTGCATATTACTACAGTAAGAGGAAATCCATTTGACTCTTTGTCATCAATATTCTGTTCACAAACAATCTACAAGATTTCAGAGATTTCCTTTTAACAAGCAATTTTATAATATTCTTAGCTATACATCTACAGATGTATGAAACAGTAAATCAATCAATAAGTAAAAGTTACTGATATAATTTGTAGCTGCTCAATCAAAGGATCGTGCAAGTCAAAATTGTGAGGTCACCATGAATTCTAAGGGGCTCCCAAACTCTTAATTTCCAAAATATAAAAAACATATCCTGTGTTTTAAGATGAGAGGCCTCCAACCTTCAGGTGAAAGGGGTCCCACATTTCATAAATATACCACTGTTTCAAAGATACAAGTCAAATGTAAATTCCAGATGCACAGAAATAGAACTTCACAGTTTACAGCAAAGCAATTACATGTTGTTTGAAAATTTTTAAATACGAATAAAAGAATCTTAACAAGCCTAATTTATTAACTTTTCATATGGTATGACTGCTTGGTTGGCTTACTGATTATAGCAAAACATTAAAAGGTTATCTGCTTTATGAGGGATGATGCCTTTGTGGCAGACTTTGGAAGGGAAAACTGGTTCACACACATTACAGATGGGGAAAGACAAGAAAATGTCATGCTGCCAGTTCATTTTCTGAGAACAGAACAACCAGTGCTAACAGTCTTATATTTGGCAAACCTGTTTAGGACGGCCGAGTTAAGAATTAGAATTTAGAACAAAAGATTTAGAATACAAAAGTTGATTACAGCAGGAAAAATAAATTTCAATTGTTAAAATTAATATTGGAAATTTGAAAAAGAGCAGAAGCCCTGCCAGATGAGCAGCTACTGACATTATGAAATTATTCGAAAACGAAATAAACAAAGAGGTAAGGTCAGTTGATTTAATTGACGAACTTTTAGACAAGGAAACAAATTTGACACATCTTGATGATGAAATTCTAAAACTGTGCAAAACTGAAGAAATAGGAAAGCAAATTGAAAAACAACAATAACACAAAGAGCAACAATAGCACAACCTCTGCATTAAGGTCTCTCATCATAATATACAAAATATCATATACACACACATACATACATACATACACATATACATGTCTAATTTGAAACAATGTCAACTTAAACACATCATTAATGTACATACCAGTTGACTTTGTGCGATGTCTAACTGCCTTTCTCCTTCAAGGATTAATTCAAAATGATTCTTGAATGTCTTTAGATGTTCTAGAGTACAAAAATAAGCAATAAATAACAAGAATGACATTTAAAATAAAATTCAAGCCATTTATATAAGTACACATATCACTATGAATTTAGAACAGGCACATATATCTTTAATATTATTATGAAGGCAACTAATAATAGGTAACCTAGTACTGGAGAATTTTCGATTACAAAATGCTTCTGTTATAATTTTGTTTCGATAAAATCAGTCCAAAAACTTAACCGGTACAAGGGTTACCTATTAGTTTAAATGTTAAGTAATTGTTTACATCTTAATCGTTTCAAAGGTGAAAAAAAATTAGTCGGATAAGTTCGTTCACAGACAAACTGTTGTTTCAATACAATCTGTTGTTACAAAAAGTTTCCATTTTAATACTATTAGACAGTATTTTGTGTTCATTTATTACTGTTTTGCACCTATTAATATCACTCAGCTTTGCACTATTGTTCTTGAAAGAAACAAATGGAAACAACTGATCAAAGAATGGCATACAGCAGATATTTATGCTATAAAGATTCATTATTTTAGTAATATAAAAAGGGACTAAATCTCAATTATAAGTGGTTTAAAGCTCTGGAATTCCAAGTTAAATATATATATATATAAAAGAAAAACAGGTACTTTCTTGTAAAGCAACAACTAATTGTGCAGAGCAAATTTTGTCCCACTTTTAAGCAGAATTAGCATGTACCCAAATACATCACACATTAATGCAAAACACTTTTTGCTCTTTTGTTAAGCTCCCACTTACTTTTGAAAATGACTGAGAGATTAATATTTTTTTATTATGAATAAAAGAGTCATTTTCTTGTCATGGCAATATTTTTAACTTTTACATTTTACTGTGTTCTTTATAGTTGATAAATTGAAATTATAAAAAAAAACTGGGATTTATCAAAACAAGGAAAACTCATTGCAACTTTCACTTTTTTTGGGGGGAGGACCACAGAATTTGCAGAGTTCTAGGACTAATTGCTTAGATATATTTATTTAAAGAAAAAATTATAAGAGCAGGATTTTATCACATGAACAGATTTCTGGTTGTACTTGTAGAAAGACAAATACGAATTAAAAAAATAGTGCAGCAACATTAACAAATGCAATTAAAAATATTGCCGAAGATCAACAAAATTTTATGATTGTTTCAAACATACAAAATAACAAAGCTAGAAAATATGAACCTGGAGCACTTCAATCTGAACACAAAACTTTGTTGACTCAGATTCAGGTGCACATGCCCTGAAAATTGGCAAGAATAGAGGATTTGGTGAAACAAGGACACAAAAAGTTGTCAGGGAACAGCATCTCAACACCTAGACAATTATCCAGTAAAATTCATTCAAAAGTTAACTCTGATATAAATGACTTTTTCACGGCAAATTTGCTTGCTTTAAAAATATGGCTATTTTTTCTGTATGCACTAATGCTGAATTAACAAAAGAGAACAGGTTGCCATTATTATCTCAAACTCTTTCTCACTTGAAAAATTTTAGTAATTGTTTATCTTTGGTTTATGTTAAAAATAAGTTATTGAGTGATTTACTTATAACTTATTACAATTAGTTCAAACATATGGCAGTCTGAAAATTTACTATTTACTATTATTACTACCATAAAATCAAATTACAAATTACTGTCCATAAATTCAAATTACAAAGTGCAACTACCAGAAATTTCTTGCAGATAACAACCTTTAGATTTCCAACAGAAATTGAATATAAAATGGAATTTTTTCCTTTGCATTGTCATTTTTAATGTTTTACGTATGGTTTGATAAATATTCAGTAAATCAAATTTAAAACTTATTTTCTCAAAAAAAAAAAAAAAAAGTCTGACAGATGCTTTTAGATCATGCATTTGATCCAAATACAATCTGAGGTTGAGACCACTATCTTATAATATAACCAATTTTTTAATGGTCAGAGAAATCAAAGTTGCACCAATCTGAAAAAAACCTACTAAGGTGGTGGTTTTAACAAAAAAGTATCAAAAAATAGTGTTCAAATAATACGAAATCCTGCGAGATAACTGTGTATAACCACTTGAGATAAATTTAAGTCTCATACTTTTATTTATAACATTTCTGAATATTACAATTTAAAACACACCTATAAAGTCCTTTTGAACATCAGTCCACATGCTGTTTAGTTCTCCCAGTTGGCTCATAATATCCTAATAATAATAATAAGTAATATCAATAAACATGGAACATTATTAAAGAACATACTAATTAACAGACATCCAACAATACATACATGTTTCAAACAAAAAATTCAATACACATCTGTGAATTAAAAGCAATGCATTTCATATAGCTAAGCAGAGAATGAATATTTTATAACTGGTTAAAACAGACATCAAAGCATTGGTAATATGCACACCAAAGCCAGTTAATTTGCTCATTTAGGTTGCTTTAAAAAATATCTTATTCTTAAAACAAAAACATAAATTTAAAAAAAAAAACTTCTTTATTTTTAAATCAGATAAGAACATTACCAAAAATATGTGCAAGTTATGATACATGTTAAATTTTCTAATTTGCACCAGATTTTTTAATTATTTATTTATTTATTCTCTTTTTGGTTAGAAAATATACTTTTTTATTAAATTTTCTAAATCTTAAATATGAAAAAGTTATGTCTTAGCCCCTCACTAAGTAATTTATACCATTTGTGCTGCTTAATGCATGGATAAACATGTAAAGCTTACAAAACTTCCATGCACCACACTCTACAATTTGTGCTGCTTAATGCATGGATACACATGTAAAGATTATAAAACTTCCATGCACTTCATTATTCTCTTAAAAGTGTAAGGAAGAAAAGGCAGCACATTTTTTTCTATCAACATAATGTAATGCGATACAATCAGAGATCCCATTAATCAAAATCAATCATTTAAAATATTTGATTATATGATTATATTCTCAAATTTTCTTATGAATACTGCCTATCACCTGCCTTTTAGTTCTCATATGTAGTTCTTAATAAAATCTGACTAATGTAAACTCACTTGCACAAACAGTAAAAATAAATAAATCACATCTATGTAGTAAAATACAGGGTTGCTACTCAAACAGGAGAAGGAAATTCCCTGACTTTTCCAGATGTGTTTTAAGAAAATTCCAAGCTATCTGCATAGTGTGCGTTGGCTGTGCTGAGGGTAAATTAATTATGTTAACACTTGAAAACACAAAAATTTGCCAATTACATATGACTTATATGTATATGTAAGATATAATAAAATATGATAGCTGTTTGAAAAAAATAATTGGCGACCTCAAAATTAACATTCTAAATTTGGTGATCTGCCCCTAAATTCATCTCTTCTCACAGGTTCCAGACTTTCTTACGTAATGTTTTTAATGCAGATATGTCTTGTCCAATCAAATTAATTGTAAACCAAAACTCTGAACTGAAACTTTCCCACTCCCAACCTTCTTCCTCTGAAAGTACTATAATTCTGCCCCACAAGTTCTCCTGCTGGCAAGATGCTTCTTATGTACGCTGCTGCTTACTTACTTAAGATGACATTCTACTTCAAAATGCAACTTACTGTATTCAAATATAATTAGGAAACATCTTATCTGAAAAAGGATGATTTGATATGCGTAAAAAAAATAAAATTGTGATTTTTCAAGATACGTTGTGCTAAATTGCATCATCATGCTTTTCACTCAGCGACCTTCAAGCCACTACAATCTTCTCGGTTAACTACGCAGTATCTAAGCTGTTAAAAGTTCCACTGTTTTTCATCTATGCATTTTAAAATCATCACACATATATATATAATCCTCAAAGCATTACTTTTATAACTATAGGAGTTGTTTTCTCCACCGACGACTAAGATTAGAATCTGCCCAATCGGGATTAAAAAATGTCTTTTCTGCAAACATTTTGCAGCTAAAGAAAGAAAGAAATCTATTTAATGTTATTTTTAAATAAATTCAAGTATTTTATATTTAATTAGCAGCATACATAAACAAAAAATATGTCCACTAAATTTCATGAAGGTATGTCATCATACAGTTAGAATTAGTTTCACAAGTATGCCAGAGAAAACTGCCTAAAATTTGAAAGTATTATTAACTAATAACAGAAGACACATTAACTGATATGAATAACAATAAATTAATTACTTAAGGATTAAAAACTGAACAACACAAATTGATAGTATTTTGGCAAATATAGATATATTAAATGGTTAGCCTAGATAACTGCAAAATGTCAAATAAGACACTTAAGAAAGAAGAAAAGGTTTAAAATATTTTGTTTTATACAAGACTGGGGATTTACTTTCGTTCAACATGAACTGCATATGCGCATGCAAATCTCTGGATTTTCGAGGTTATTGGAAACCAAAGATGCTGGAAACTTGCTCTGTCTTTTTAAAAGACAATCTGATTGGCTTTACAACAGCTGTCCAAATGACCCTCATGCGATACATGATTCGACAAGAAAGTGATCGCTTTCCACGTTGGTGCGAAAATCGCTTTTTTCCAGAATGTCATATGAAATTCTCCGAATTTTGCAGATTTTCACTAAAATATTTAAATTCCCTAGCTTTTTTGGTCAATTTTCGAATTCCCTGTCTTTTCCAGGTTTCCCAAGTATGTGGCAACCCTGTAAATAAAATCTAGATTTCTTCAAACCAATTCCCAGCTCTCATTTTATTTAAAACAACTCTTATTTTTACACCACTTCTTCAACATACAAAAATGCCAAAAGATAAAAAAAAAAAAAAAAAAAAAAAAACAAGTAAAAGAAGCAAGTATATGCTTAACAGCAATGTTTGGCATTTAAACATCTTAAAATAACAAACAAAACGATCCTTTTTTTTTTTTTTTTATTTTTTTTTCCTTTAACCAAGTCTTTAACCAATTTTAGCACCTCAAAATAAAGAAGAAAAAGTTGTTATTTTTACTCAAAGTGATATCCGATTCATAGCAGTGAAACAGAAGAAGAAACACAACATCTAAAAATATTGATATTGGTTAATAAATTTATGAGATAATTTCACCCTGCACTGATTTTTAAGAAATTCTACTAAAGAAGATGATGTAATTCAAAATTCATAAGATTATTTAACTCAAATTCAACTTCAATTAGAAAAAAAACTTGATGATGGAAAACAAATTAGGCAAACTAGGAGAAAACTCTTCTTAAGGTTATATAAAAACTATTCTGGCGGCACTGGAGTTTTCGTGATAATGAGATGAAATCATAAATTTTAAAAAGATCTGAAAACAAATACAAGTATAAAATTGATGTTTTAAATCAAAACATCACAGAAGTGGTTCTCAACATATCTTGCCCTATGCATCCCTTTCACCACTGTAAGATCTTACCCTCTTCCTTTCCAAAACTCAAAAAATACACGCACTTTTATTTAGATTTAGATTATTTTTAATATTTTTTTTATAAATTAAACAAACAGAAAGTATAGAAAATGCTGATAAATACCAAAATTTGAATAAAAGTAACTTTTATATTCATAAATTAAAACTATCAAAAATATAAATGATGAAGGCTGAAAAGATGCCTATATTAAATAACAGAATTAGGTAATCATAACAAAGTAATAAATAAAATAAATAATAAAATATAAAAGTAATAATAAGTGGAACTAAATACTTAACAACTAAATAAAAGGCTGAACACAATCTCTTATGAGCTGCCTTTGAGTGTTTTTAAAAGTTTAAGAATGGTGAACTTGACATCGAAGACAAAGAATGGAGCAAAAGGATTAAAGTACACGAAGATACAGAATTGGAAGCATTACTAGAATAAGATTAAAAATTTAGGTTCCATATGAACTGAAGCCAAGAAACGTTGAACAATGATTCTTTACACATGAAATACTGCTTGCCAGGCATAAATGAAAGGGGTTTTTCCATTGTATAGTCACTGGTGATAAAAAATTGATCCACTAAGATAACCCAAAGAAGAAAAAATTATAGGGACCGCTAGCCACGTTTCACCACTGAGTGCCTAGCCAAATATTCATGGAAAAAAATCACGCTGTGTATATGGTGGGATCAACTTGGTGTCATATACTGACATGCTCAAAACGAATGAAACCGTTACTGGGCTCTCTGCCAAACACAAATGATATGACTGAGATGAGTACTCGAAGAAAAATGCCTTCCTAACTACTCCAGACATGACAAAATTATTCTCCTGCATGATAATGCTGATCCACATGTCGGCGCCAGTCAAACACCTGCTCGGACACACTCAAATGAAAAGCCCTTCCTCCCACTGTATTCGCCAGACACTGCTCCTTCTGATTATTACTTATTTTGACTGATGACACACAGCCTGTCTGAGCAGCATTTCACATCATATGAAGATACCAAAAATCGGATTGATTTCCGGATAGCCTTTGAAAAATGAAACGCTCTTCTGACGTGGTATCTATATGCTGCCAGAAAGATGTGGAAAAGTAATGGCTTGCAATGGCCAATACTTTGAATAAAACATAATGTACCGTTCTTTCACAATAAATGCCCAATTTTTAATAAAAAATGGCAGAGACTTACTTGTACTCTCGCTATCATAAAAAATATCTTTAAGAAAAGAGGAGAGAGATACAAGACAGAAATTTTTATTTAAAGTTCTGAGAAAAATTAGATTGTAAATTAAATAAACCATAAAATAACAATAAATTTTTACTTGAATAGCCTGTTTTCATCACAGTAGCCCATTTAAACCATGTCTTGAGAAGCTGTAAAATAAAGTTTAATAACAATAATAAATATAATTTTTAATGTTTTCATTTCATTTTTAAAAATGATAAACATACATTTGAATGTTTTTACTTCATTTTTAAAAATAATAAGGTATTAATAAAGAGCATGACAATATTAACTAATTTCATGACATAATTCTTCACTTACCAGAATTTTGTGCTGACATAAAAGCTTTAGTAGCATGTCTTAAATCTTTTAATTCTGATATCACCATATTCAGATCAGAATGACCAGCTCCTAAAGACTTCAGACGTACGCTACTCCTATACAATAAAAAAGAAAGGTTTCTTAATTTTTTAGAATTTAATATTATAATAATGATGCAATTAGATAAGCTATATTACAGATAATGTAACTTAATATAAAATAACTAATAATGTGATTATATAAGGCGATATATCTTAAATATTTCAAAACGGTTAATTTTGTTTATAAAAAATATAACAAATGAAACTGATGATTTAAGTTCTGAAAAAGAAACAATTAGTATTTCATTTATTTGCTGTATTTACCCTTTTGCCTCAATAGAGGGCCAAACCTATTCCTCTCGCACAACTGAAATGTCTGTATACACGAATTTCTGTTGGAATGGAATTCTTTCCCTTTGCCAATTAGAATGCTACAGTGTTAACAATAATCTACTTAAGTGAAATGATTACTTCTCTTTTGCGGATATATGTGCAGTTTCACCCACTGTGTGCAGTTTTCCCTTAGGGCAGGATTGCAACTGTGTGCATCAATAGCATAGACTCCAATTACTATGGATTCTCCGTAGTTTCTACAGAAATTAATGTAAAACTACGAGCTACGAAAAGTATGGAAAAAACTATGGACTTTACAGAAACAGGGTACGCAAAACAAAACCAACTAATTCATCCGATGATTCGCTGAATACCCGTGTCATGATATATCAAGTGTTGAGTGCGTTGCTGGTTTTGAAGAATAGCCAATCGTAGATCATTAACTCCAACCCTTAATTACTTGACAATAGTTCCCCAGCACTCCCAGGCAAAGCTGTATGTATAGTTCGTTGCTGCTGTATATGGCTTTTTCAGGCTGCCTTCAGTTTCATTGTTTAGATGAATAATACCAGATGCATGAATAATACCAGAGATTACGGCAAGAGCCTTAGCATGTGTCTTGTGAGCTGAGATTCAGCTGGAAGTTTTTTGTTAATTATGCTACCTTGAACAAAGAAGCTATCTGTGAATCACGCACATTGCAGTGTATGCAACAAACTTCTCAGTTGCACATGGCAGAAAAGATGACTGTAAACAGTTTTTTTTTTTTTTTTTTTTTTTTCAGAAGCATAAAGAATTTGGCACTGTAAAACCTAAAGAAATAATGAATTTCTTAATAAAAGATGATAAAACAGATGCTATAGAAGCCGAATGCTATTTTGTTCAATTTTTAACTGAACATAATCTACTGATTTCTGTTTCGGATCATTCCAAACAGCTTTTCAAAGCAATGTTTCTGGATTCTGCCATAGCAAAAAAATTTAGCTGAAGCCATACCAAAACTGCAGCTATTGCGAAAATGCATGCAGAAAGTACTGTTGCCGATATTATGAAATCAGTGTGCAACACACCATTTTCTCTAAATACTGATGGAAGTAATGATAACAAACTGTACTCTTTGATTATAACATATTATAAAAAATAAAAGGGAGTGATAATTATTCATTGATTTCTCTTTTAGAATGCATGAATAATACCAGAGAAGGTATTGATAATTGTATAAATGAAAACTATAAAAGCAAAGGTTTACAATGGAAAAATTGTTTATCATTTTCTTCACTCTTTCCAAGCAATAACAAATTTGTAAATAACTTTTTTGTTGCAAAACAGGAAAGAACTTTTGGTACCTCAAGTATGCGTATGACATCATGATTTAAATTTAATGTAATATGACAACTTTTTCTCAATATCAATAAAAGAATTAACGTGACTCGGGGTCCGTAGCTACATTTTAGTTAAAAGAATAAGCATCTATAAGCACTTTTCAAGCACATTTTATGAAAAAAAAATAAGCACCTGTCTAATTACATTATACATAGCTACATTACCTTCAAAGAAAAATTAGACTTTTAATTTAAAATATGAGAAATCCAGTATTTATTAAGAAAGAATGAGCATTCCTCAACCATGGACAACATTTTTTTTTTTTTTTTTTTTTTTTTTTTTTAAATTTTAAATACCAGTTCAATTTACAGAACTAGTTTAGAATGAAAGAAAAATAAACTATGTAGAACTAAATTATATTACAAGATTTAATGATGAAATTTCAGTTCAAAATAGAGAAAATAAATAATAATAAGCCATATTTATTATATTTGCTTGGGACTTAAAAATAAAAACAATTTATTTTTCCACTCATATTAATATTTAAATAATTTAACTTTAATCAAAATTCTGAACATTTTCTAAATTTTCATTGTATAACAATTTTCCCTTAACACATATTGCAAGGATAGTAATTTAAGTAAAAATAAGTAAAAAAGGAACTTTTCTGAAATCAGAAGACGGGAAATTGCTTCAAATTGCGAATATCCGAAAATTCCGGATAGTTGAGCGTAACTGGTAAAAGAGGAAGGGGGTTAGATTGTAGCTGTTCTTTAGATTTTTTAGCTAAATAATGCTTTTGACATTTCAATAGTGCATCATATAAAAAACAGCCCAATGAAACTGAAAATTAATCTGCTTAGCAAGCACAGTAAAATTCTTTTATCTCTCTGCATGCGATATTACGCAATAAGAGTCAATAGCTGCCGGTATTCAGAGAATAACTAAATAAATAAAGGAAAACGACCTTTTGCTTGCACCCATGTGGCATATTTATCATTGAGCAGGACACGTCGTGCTCTGCGCGATATCCCTGCCATACTCATATTGATTATAATAAAGAGATTTACCAATCTGGGGTGTTTTTCATTCTAATTTTGAATAGATTGCATTAAATTTCTGGAATACAATCATTCTTCATTTGGTTTGGAAGACCGCAGAACTTTTAGTCCTATTCAATCCATGCTGGAAAGTGACCAAAAAAAAAAAGACTGTTGCTTGCTTTGCTGCGAACTGTAACAAAAGAAATTATTTTGACTATTTGATTACTTTCACTTTATTTATGCCATTCCGAATATTATTCCTTAGAAAACTGATCTGTGTTAAAACACGCTTACCCATTTTTTGAAGTTTATCTATACTTCAGCAGTTACTGCAAATATATTATTATAAATATTCATACATATGCTCATAATATAAGCATACCGATCATAATAAACGCGAACATGAAATGACTATGCGGAACGAGAATATAAATTATTAATACCTTGGTAAAAATTCAAACGTGTGTAATATTGGGTGGACGTAAAAGAATATGGAATGTATTGGAATTTTTCGCAATTCTGTGACCAATAGAACGGCATGCACCTGTCTGTACTTGTGAGCCTCAAAGGTTATGTTAATGCACAGAAAGGAACAAAAAGCTTTTTCTGGGAGTATGATTCACCATCTGACATTCTAAATAAGGAAAAGAAAAGTTATTTATTTAGTTTTTGGTTTTGGTACGGGGAAAAAATGTGCGTTCGTTAAAAAAAAAAAAAAAAAGCACTAAAAGCAAAAAATAGCCACTAAAAAAAAAGTGCTTTAGAGAAAAAGTAAGCACCTATAAAGGCTTTTATATTTTATTTTCAAATATAACGACTTATAAGCACTTGTAAGGACCGCTATGAATCCTGTGGCAGTAACATATCGTGTGAATTATCCTAACCTGAAACAAAAATATTGCCTACAGCCACTCTTTATTTAAAATGCTGAAATAAACAAAAAATTTGAACGATTTGAAACTGAGCAGCATAATAATGATCGGAATACACCATTTTTATCCCTAGAGAGCAAGACTGCTATCAATCAGAAAAATGAGCTCGAAAATTAGCATTTTCAGAGTTTTTAATTAATGTCTCATCTGATTAAAGTTGTACAAGGATGAGAATGGTCAAAATGGCTTTCCACAAATCTTTGGAATCTAGAGATACATCTCTTGAAACTCAATTCCCCACCATTCTGGAGGAGATGATATTACAAACAAACAAAGAGATGCACAGAATATGATTAATCATATTACATGAGTAAATTAGTAAGTGTTTAAGAGCAAGTAAAAATTATAACATGGCCAGTCTACATTTGTAAAGAGCATGGGAACAAGAGAAAATTATACCTTCTTTCCATCCATATATGTTATATATGCTTTCCCTCCTTACCCTTTTATTTTATTACTTGTTATTATATGTTTAACAAAGGAATACTGCTGACGAGGTTAATCACATTTCTAGCTGAGTGCAGTTAATCAATGTTAATAATCTCAACTTTATGGCTGCATATGCTGAGCAAATGGCTGATCAACTGTTTCAACAATTTCCACACAGCATTTAAAAGTGTCTCCTTGCTGTATTCTTCCTTGAACAGGGCTGGAGTTCAAAATATAAATACATAAATCTTTGAGTTGAAAACTGCTTTGTTGAGGAGTGGGATCGACTGCTACAAGGCCTCTTCAACTGCTTCCTGTTCAGTATGGCATCACACTGCATGACCTGTCTGGTTGTGAGAGGGCATCATACCCCATATTTAACTCATTTTCCGTTTTAATATCAGAACTTGGGTTTTAAGATCCCTGAGCTATAGATGTCTACTAATAATCATGCATACATAAATTGACTTTTGAATGATACATCTCTTTCTCTGTTATAAATGCATATTCATAAATTTCATTAAAATCTGCCCATTAGTTTTTCAGAACTTCAATGTAATGTGTGCAGATTCTCTTAATTTTGCATACGAGTGTATAAGAGTTCAAACAAGCTTCACACTAGCACTTTTGTCACACTGAAGATGCAAACAATAGATTACAGAAAATCAGATTCAATTCATAAAGATCAATTATACTAATTGAAATTTTTTTCATTTACATTACATTATCATTTTAAGTGTACTTTTAATTTAATGAAATCATTTAAAATAAACTTACCTCCTAATTACTTTACTAGCTCTGTCCATGAAAATTTCTTAGTTATGAATGAAAAAACTTAAAGATGCGTGTTTATGAGTGCAATACCTGTAAGGAGGGAAGAAATAAATATAAAGCATGCAGAAGAAAAACACACACATAGGGAAAAAATTTACCATTACGGAATAATTATTTCTTCATGAAGCCCTTCAATTTCAATTTCATAGGCATTAACAGAACTTTACACTTAATATTTTCCTATCAACCATTCTCAACAAATACATACTGTCACCAAACAGCATGATTAAGTGGTAATAATGGATCAATGTGATATCACAACATAATCGTAAGATTTTTGCCTTGATTTTATGTAATCCTGACCAATTAATTATACTACATACTAGTTCCCTATTTATTACCCAACAATCTCCTCCTCCAGACTTTCGCTGGTACGCATTTAACAAAATCTCTGCCAGCTTTCATGGTTAATGATAAAATACATAAACATAAAAAAACTGAGAAGTGATTCTGGTATAAAACTACTTGTGAAATTAATTTAATTTCCATATATTTTGAAATGCCCATCTACAGAATTTCAAGAAAGAAGATATTTTTTTAAGGAAAAATATGAAACTGGGCTTTTAACTTTATATCATTAAAGGAATATACACATAACTCGCTTAATACTAAGCATTATAATTTTGAGCACAAAATCTAAAATTCTTACTTAACAAAGAAAAGTCCAAAGGAAAGACTGAGTTAAAAGTTTTAATTACTTTTAATTAGTTTTTAACTTATTGGAAACTTCTTATGATGAATTTAAGCATACCTTTTACACTTTTCCTTTTTCTAAAGCCCCATTCAAAAGAGCAATACGTGATTGCACCGTTCACTTAATTTTAACAAACAACATGGCTGACGTACAACTGACTGCTCGCTGGACTGTCAGCGAAACAATCATGTTGATAGATATCTGCGGATGCGATATCGTCCAAAAAAATTAAATGGAACAGTACGAAATATGAAAATTTGTAAACAAGTACAAACAAGGTTATCCGATGCTGGGTATTCCAGAAATAATGTTCAAATTAAAACTAAAAACTCGCATAAAGTCTTCAACGAGACATGGGGACCCGGTACACCTTTTGAATGATTTTTTTTTTATTTAAAAACTTTCATCTACTTTTTTTTTAATATTATTAAATGGTTTTGTATGACAAGATGATTTTAAGCTGAAAGAAAATTTTTAGTCCACACTGTGAAAAAACAACGGCACCTAGAGACATGCAATTTTGAATAACTTGCGTTTCCACCCGAATATGGGCATCGGGAAGCCCAAATTAGGAATTTGTTATATTAACTATTTCATATTTTGTAAAACTTTCTGGAAATTTTTATTAACAAACTCAATTTCAAAGCGAACAATGGTGAAACTTCACGGGGGGGCTTCTTTAACTCCAGCGTGCGAGACTGTGTATTAGAAATTCTAAAGATATGCTCATTTACAATTTATTTTGCAATATTGCTGTTGAACTCAATTTGACAGTCAATTGCAAGGAACATGATATTTAATAAATAAAATAACACACAAAACATTTTTAAAAAAATGCCCAATTTCATCAGAAGGAGTATTAATGTTGTTTTGGAATTTTAGGTTGGTTCCCTACGTCGGTTCACTTTTAAAATTGTTGCCACTAAATATTAGAGCTCTGTATTATGGCAGAATCTGCATGAATGTATGTATGTTTCTCGCAATGTGATAATTATCAATTTCATATTTTGTAACTCTTCAACGAATATGTCATTAAAAAAACTAAATGATTTCAAAGCGAGCAATAGCAACACAGTACGAAAAAAATATCATCTCCGGCGCGCGAGACTTTGTATCGAAAATTCTAAAGACATGCTCATTTTAAAATTATTTTGAGATACTGCTGAACTTAATTTTATGGTTTGAGAATGTAAAACATAATATTTAATAAATAAAGGTAACACACAAAACATTAAAATAACACCCCTTTGGACGTAATTTAAAATCTGAAACCTTTGTTTTTTTTAATACTTTTTTTGGCCAGTAATTTCTTTTTAATTTAAATTTTTTGAAAAGTTTAACAATTAAAATGTCATTCTTTTCCCACGGTTTTCAATGCTTTTTCCCAAATTTTATTGTTTTTATTGGAGAGTTCTTAATAACTTTAATGATCGATTTTGCATACAATGAATTAGTTTCTGAGAAAAAATAAAAACATATTTTTACGTAAAAACTTTGAAACAAATATGATCTCATTCACATTTCCACTTCAATCTTTTCAGTATTTTGCAAAACCCATCCTTGTTTTTATAAAGTACATAATTTCAAATAAGCTGTAAAAATATTAAATAATTTAGGCCATATCTATATAAGTTTTAAGATATTATATAAAAGGATTTATTGAAAAAATGAAAACTGATAAAACGCATTTTAAAGATTACAAACTGTCTAAATCGTCATTAAATCATTTCAAAATATCTTAAAAATGTTATTACTGAATTTCAATACATACATATATAATAATAAAACCTAGTGCTATTCAATTGGTTAATATAAACATAAATTACACACTTTTATTTAAAATCTTCGTAAAACGGGTTCAAAACATTTTAATGTATGAATTAATTGTAATATATTTTTAAAACGTATATAATTAATGTAAATAATATTAATTTGTTGTTTTATTCCTTTTTCAAAAAGTCAGCAAAGTTTGAAATTTTAACAGCCAGAAAACATTTTACTTAAAAGCGTTCAGCAATATATATGATTTCTTTTCTTTTTTAACCATTTGGTCTCGTATATAAATTGCATTTTAAATTAATTTAGGTGTATTTTAGTTAATTAAAGAGTTAAACTGTGATGGCTTATGCCAAAAAAGATGTGAGCAAACGTTAGAAATCCGCCAATCAGATTCGTGTTTGTGATATCATTCACTGCTCGCAGTGGCTTACGGTTAAGGGATAGAAGACTATGTGCATCTATGTGAGTAGACCTGCGCATGCACAGAAAGTTTGTAGCTTTGAGGTCCGGATTATAGATCATTCCGGTTTACGGATGTCCAGATTAAAGCCTTAAGTATACACATAAAAAACGCTAACAAATGTTAGTTCTAAGAATTTTTTATTTTGAAGGCATAAACATTTTAATATCGTTTAAAATTTTGTAAAAAGCCAGTAAATAAAAACAATAAATTTGTGAAAAGGCATTCATTTAAGAATTTACTATGCTTTCACTGTCCATCATCCTGATTCACCGGTTTATATCATGTTATCCCAAGTGATCTCATCTCACGTAAACTACACTACAAAAATCTAATATTCTCAGTAATTATTCTACATTGATTTCAAGTTAAATTTTAATTTGGAATATAAGTTTAAATGCAAGTTATTTCAATTCGTATAAACAGCTTATTCAGAAATTATGTAAAACCACAGCGCTTTACTTCGCTTCTGCATTCTCATTAGAATTGATGATTTAACCCTCGATTTTGCCTTTTCTATATTTTCGCCTTTGGGGGGAGCGGTGTGATTACATCCTAATATACTTAATTACTGCGAATGGTCTTAGAGCATAAAACTGTACTATCTGACAAAAATTCTATGTAATTGTATGCCAGTATTGAAAGAAACAATCAATCTGATAAGAAATGCCAGCGACTTGTTTTGGAAATGAGACGTAAAAGGTTACCAGCGAGGATATTCCGTTTGGCATCAGTTGTATCATTATTGGCGACTTTATTGGTTGCGCCGGCAAAATGGAAAAGTATCAAAATAACTTTCTGGAAAAATATTTCACAGGAATTTTCGAAGTTAACTACTCTAAAATATTTAACATTCTGATCTTGTATTAAAACAGAAAACTTGTCTAAAAAATTCAACAAAATCCTTATCAATTAGTGTAATGCTGGTGATAACCTCTGCAGTAAAATCTCACAGGGAAAAGTTATTAAAATAATTTTTAAAAAAGAAAAATGAATAACCCATATTACAATTAACAGAAAAATTTTAACAATCTACCTAATTTTTATATTTGGGGGGAAAAGTATCCCCCCTCGGTTAGGTAAATTATCAGCATTCAAAGCAAAAACACCATTTCAAAACACAATAATGTTACATTAATTATACATTTCAATAGAAATCTATGGAAAATAGATGACTGATGTCTTGATTTATCTTTACAATTTAGCAATTACTTTTTAATGGATGATTTAATAATGTTTACATACTCCAGATTATGTACAATGACATACTATTGAGGATCAAAAACAATTCATAATATTGTGACATCCTTCGCTGTTGCAGTTATCCCACACATTTTCATTTTTTTATACATTTAATATGAAAATTCTGCTTTATTATGATGGTATGTACTGGTGATTTTTCTGTCATTTCACAAAAAACACCTTCTTTTGCATAAGATCTGGTTATTCCACAACCTAGTTAGTTGTGATTTAATTGCATATCATTTTCTATAACAAATGCTCGATTCCATCAACATTTCCTTGATTTAACAAACATCATTTTGAATACCTTCAAATGGTTTACAATTTTTCTTTAAAAACTGGAATGCTGAAGCTGAAACAATTATCCCCAGTGTATAAAATCATTTTAAAACATTTTAAGTATTTTATAAATTAAAAGTGCATGTAAAAAAAGTTTTGAAAATGTAATAAAACTATAAAATCAGTAATATTTTCACTACTGAATGCAACAGAATTGAACACATAACAAGAGTTAAAAAACATTTCAAACAAAAGTTTTCATCAGAAAGCAAACTGCGATGATCTTAAGTCAATTTTTCTCTGTATTTAAAATTATATACAGACATATATAGTGAAAAGGAACCTTCCACAAATTAGATGTCGGCCAATTCAACCGGTATGGAGGTACTGACTATTACAATATTCAAAATCTTCTAAGTTTTTGTTGAAGAGTTGTTTGATTTCAACAAAGTGTTATTAGTTAAGAAAAGAAAATAAATAAAAAAATACAGCATGGCATTCATAAATTTCCGAGCGAGAGGAATCAGACATTTGCTTGAAAGGTTATCTAAACGTAACAGTGGTAACATTGTTGTT